CGCGCATGCGTGTGTACATGCGTGTATGTGTTTAAATGTTAGCAGAACATGCGAAGGTTCAATAGAAATGTTATTCTCTGGTTTGAGTATATCTTAGCACACGTACGAAGAGTCACACTGTAATATGCTTGAACGTGGCCTAGCAGACTTTGGAACTGTGTCTGGCTTTTACTATTAAAACGAATCTCTGCCTAGTAAAAATTATCGTGTGATCGAATCCGGTGAGATCTGTTATGACAGGTACACATATGACCATTGCTGAGTACACTGTAACCGCTGCAGCATTAATACATCGCTGAGCCAACTTACAATGCCCACGGTCAAGATTCCTGCCCAAAATTTCAGAGTTGCAAAGCCTTGAAAAACGCCACGACACGTTTTCCCATGTGCAAACATCATTCACTGTAAAAGCGCCCAGGAATGATATTGCAGGGTGTCTACCAACCTGGAAAAGTCAGGGAAAATTGGACCCTTCTGAAAAAGTCGGGGAATTTTTGAAAAACCTGGCCAGGTCATGAAAAATGACAGCAGGTCTGTGTGACCGTCAAAAAAAGTAAGCATTACCCTTGATCAAAGCTAAAAATGTCTCTCTCTCATCTGCAACTACAGTGAGCTGCTAGAAAGCGCGTGAAAAAAAAAAGAAAACAGTGCATAACTCTCGCTTCTTAATTGAAACACGAAAGGATACGTCGACCCATAGAAGACAAGGTTTACTGACATTTAAGTACCCGATATGGGAAAGAGCCTTGTTCACAATAAAAGCCATGAGAAAGGCACAGTGTACTAAAGTATGCCTAAATACGTGATGTAAGCAGCGAGCGTAAATTGTCAGAAGCCTCCCATCACTTCAGTTCAGCGTATGTATACAGTCGTCTGTATCTGGATTCGAGGTGCAGGCATGATGCAAGCTTCTTTTAAATGTGGAGCGTTTTATAGTTGCACCTACTCGCAAATCCTACGTCGGCGGTGGTGTCTACACCCCTACTGCGCATGCTAGAGTTTTGTGTTAACTGTCGCTTCCCCCACTCTCTCACCTCGCAAGGCTGACGCAGGTAGCGCCTGCTAGTCAAAAAGGACTGCTCGTGCTGCACAACTGTTCACTGACCACCCCATATATGTAGGCACTAGATCGGGCATTCGCAATTGTCACACAGGTCCCGTTAATTAGAGAGGCGATCGCCGGGCTAATTCCAAGGGCCGAAGTATCGGCCCCCCGAACAGCACCACGAAAGCGTGGACAATTAGAAGTGGTCCTTTTTGGCGCGCCAGCGGACGCTGGCTGTGGCCCAAAGAACAAGTCAGAGCCGAGAGTTGATAAACAAACAAAATTATATTCTCAATAATGGCAGATCGAAAACAATACACAAGAATGTTCACTCCACAATAGTTGCATACAATATGCCACCAATCAAACAACGTACTACACAATACAATCAGCCTCACTCGAAACAACGGACACAGACAACCATACGCACTACAATGCAGTCACATGCATTGAACAACCAAGACACTTAAAGACTAAAGAGATAGAAAACCTATCCAGTCCAAAGTTCTTGGAACAAAAGTCTGGATGATACTCTTCCGAGAATCACTCACTCAAAGTCCAGCGTTGTTGTCGTTCCGCGCCCTCGAAGTTTCTCTTCCAGGAAACCTCGCGTCTTCAATTGGCCACTCTCCAAGCTTCAAACTTCTTCGCCCGAACACGTCGGCTTCACATACGCAGCTGTCGCTACGCGTCTTCGCTCGATAGCGGTAAACACACACTCTTGCCTGTAGCTCGAGTCATCACCCCTCAGGTGGAAATCCTCTTCATCTCTGCTTTGTCGCTACGGACAAAACCTTCGCCGACTACACGGCGGTATACCTACGCGCTCTGGCGCTAACTTCCGTCTTCTCCTGCTCTCTCGTCTCGGCTGCTCGATTAAATACCTTTCGCGCGAGATTCCAGAAGGTTCTCGTCATTTCGTCGGCGCGATACGCAGCGAAGGCTGGGGAGAGGGCGAGCCGGTTGGAATGCCCTCCGCGATGGATGACTCAACCCGGCGTGACCACGCCTCTTTCGTTCTAGAAATTTCGCGGGCTTGCTCGGCCGCCGATGTGGGGTGAGGAGGTTCGTCGGCGAAGCCACGCTTTCGAGGGGAGAGCGCGCGCCCAGGGAGCCTTGGATGTTTGTTTTCTTTTTTTTTCTTTTGACCTCCCGGCGTCTCTCCCGCGCGTTATCGCAAGAATTTGGCGGCGCAATTGATTGAGACGCCCTTGACTGAATTGCTGTGACAGCAATTCAGTCAAGGGCGTCTTTACTTGGCTTTCGCTTGACTTGACACTTTGCTTGCGATGGAAGCAACAGTACCTTCAACCAGTAGTGGGGCACAACCCAACAGTATTCCATCACTCATTGAAAGCAACACTTCTACTTCAGTCAATAAATACGAATAATAAAGACAAAATAACGATTAAGCATTCCCGAACCTTACCCAGTTATGCAACATTCAAGCGATACCCCAACAACTCCGTGACGCATTTACTCAAGCCCCCCCCCCAGTGGGAGGAGGAAGAATAAACTTTAGAGAGTTTTAGTACTGTGGAATGGTGCTACGTACGCATCACGCAAGCTCCTTGCGTTACGTGGCGTCGTTTGCCACTAATCGGGTTTTAGTACGCCGTAGTACCCGCGTACGTAACGAGCGTGAAGCGTGTTGCGCCATCTGGTTGATCAAAATAGAAGCACGTGTAGTTGACAGCCAATGTGAGCCAATCCAAGTGTTATAGCCAGATTATGGCCATATTTTAAGCCACAGAGCCGGTCGGTGCTTGCCTTCGATGCCGCCATTTCGCAAAACGAAGTCTCGCGCTGTCGCGAACTTGTTCGAGAGTGGTGCAATCAGCTCATACGTACGCACGCACACATCTCATGCGTGTGTACGTAGCGGCTGCGTACGTAACGCGATACGTGCGCGTTGCGGTCTACGCATGCGCACTACGCAGAACGTGGCATCCTTACGTACGCAACGGCGCCACGTACGCAGTACTAAAACTCTTTATTATTATAAGAAATCAGCAGGTTTGGATGGCCGGTCCTAGGCCTCCCATGAGGGGACGTCAAGGGCTTGCCTCGACGCCGCCTCACGGGCGTGCTGGGTCACCCAGGTTTGGTTGTCAAGGCCAGGGCTCCGCAGATCATCATGGAGCTTCGACGAAAGGGTCGTGGTGTTAGTGTGTCCGTACTGTGCCGGGCACTCCCACAGCTGCAGGTTTTTTCTTTGTCCAGAACACACATGTTTTACAAGTCTATTTGGGTCTGTAGATTCCGCGTGTCCAGCAAGGGCAGTCGAGGCCACGCGTCGTTTTTTGGCGTCATATTTGTGTTGTTTAACTCCTTTCTTGAAGTCACCAGTTTTACCAATGTACTGGTTGTAACAATTGTGGCAGCCTATGGCATAAACAAGACCAAGGTAATTTCTGCTCAGTAACTTGTCCTTCACATTGGCTAAAGCATTCCTTAGCTTCCATGTTGGTACATCCACTATTTTGATGTCTGTTGCTTCTACATATCACACAGCATATCTGACTTTTGAGCCACAACTTCACTCGTGTCTGTAAACTTGTGCATGTTTGTCTAGGCCACGATTGGCTTGAAGGCCGTCTGGTTTGTCTAAATTAGAAGTGCCATCAGCAGACTATTATTATTATTAATGCTATTATCACTGGTGATGCAACAGCAAACGACCTCAACTACACACTTATTGCTGGTAGCTCGTGCTTCAAGGGTAGCACTTGTGTAACATCAGGTAAATTTCTGATTTCAGCTTTATGAGACTGTGTAAATATATCTGCAATTATTTTTTAGCGTGACCTCCGCAGAAGAGTACGTAAACCAAGGTAACGTGCCCGCATCCATGATTCATCAGTGGAATCAAGGAAGCTGTTGCACCTTGACAGATTCTTTCTTGCCACCACCTATTCAAACGTTGGCATTGTAAAGGCTGTCTCCAGCTTTCATTGCAGCCCTCCGAGGACTTTCATTGCACTTCATGTATCGGAGTCCAGGGACATAAAATACAAACATAAATGTGCTTGGCGAAAAAAGAAACAAAGTTTTGCAGTACGGTTCTGTTTTTCAACGTTGTCATTACTCGTTGTCAAGGCAAGGTACACAAAATACACGAGTAGTAGTTATTCAGCTTTGTTTTTTACTGAAAAGTATATTTTAGAGGTGCGCAAATTAGGTGGCAATGCAAATCAATAGTAAATACAGCAGTCCAGGTCGAATCACATCTAATCCAATCAACATCTTGAATAGTTGAGTCAGTAAATACAGCAGTTCAGGTAGATCTAATTCAATTCAATCCACATCCTAAGCGGCGTGGGCTATAGCCATTATAAGAAACTAGATTATACTCCAGTGGCAGAACCGGCCAGGCTCTCATGTCCTCATTTTGCACGGATGCCCCGAGACGCCGCCCTTTCTACATTTCCTAGCAGCTTTGACTGCGATGTCGGACTATCGCAGGCTCCCTCAAACTTTCATCTGTTGCTGCTTTTCAGTGGTATATTTGCTTCCTGGTTCTCCCGAACATAAAACAGCTGACTTGCTCACTACCTGGCTCGGGGGTTTTATTTTGGCCAGATATACATTTTTTTTTTTTCACAGTTACCACACGTGCTCACAACATTCTGACTGCGTCTGGTAGATATGTTTACTTATATGGAGCGCCTGTTTTTTTTTTTTTACCACTAGATGGTTTGTTTACAGTGCACAGAGTTTTCCATGCAGATGTGGCAGTGATGTAATTTGCTTTTAATCTCCATGGAGAACCTGTAAAAGTCAGGGAATTTAGAAATATCAAATTGGTAGACATCTTGTATTGATAGTAGTACTGCTCAGTTTATACATCACGTCAGCTTGAAGCGACGGGAAAAAAAAAGGTGGGTAATTGGTGAGAGGGAGAGGGTTCGCACGAAAAACTTTAAGGGGGAGGGGTTCTCAAGGATGAACATGCTACTGTTGAAAAGAAGCAGTTTTATTGTTTCTCCATGTTGTGAGACTGCAAGAGTAGACAGCAGGTGTTGTGGCCATTATTCTTTGCCAGGTCATATGCTGTAGCAAAAAAGAATTAACAATGCTGTTAGAAACTTGCAAAATACGGCAAGTGCCAGATAGGATTCACTACTTTGACTGTTCTACATAATATAAACAAAGCATTTCAAATTATGAAGATATTTACTGCAACATTTAATGTATGCAAGTGAATAGCTAAAATATTTTAAAGTCTATTCACTTTATAAAAAAGGAACGATTTACTTAAAGCAAGTACTTGTTGCACTGAAGGCATTCAGGTTTACATCTGTTAATGACATGATTCTGTGGAGAATATATAAACATTAATAGAGCATCTGCAATAGTGGCATAGCCCTCTAGCACTTGTCACAAGGATAAAGGAAAACAAAGGAAAGGGCATTTATGAGCAAGCTACTGCAGGATATAATAATGCCCCAAAGGTCTCGTGAGTACATGAGTACACGTGCTGTCACGATGAGATGTTACACACCCGTCACCATTTTTACAGATAGCAAAGGCCTCAGCTCTCCCTCTTATGCGAAATTCAGTGTGTCTGTGAACGGTGGTCATGCAGCAAAATTCTGGGCTGCAACTACAGGCAGCATGTGCAAAAATGGTGAAAAATGGTGACGCATGTGTTTGCGCATCGTTGATTGCATTACTTGATTGCAAGCCGACGTACTTGGGAAAGACGTAATGATGTTACATGTACAGTCCTTTGTCATGTGCATAGGTTGCGAAGTTTTTGTTCGCCGACATATTTGGAAAAGACAATGATGCTACATGTATAGTCCTTTGTCACGTGCATAAGTTGCGCACACATGTTTTGTTCTTTCTTCCCTTTTCTGTCTCGCTTAAATAAAGCAGCTAGTTGTCAGCCAGCGCTCACGTTCAGTCTTCCTTCATGATTCATCTCTGCGCTGTTCCAATATAAATAGAAGCCCACTAGCCCAACTTTCCCTTTGCTGCAATGAGACATGCGCTCTTGCAGTCGTTTGTCTCTACAACCAGACGTGATATAGTAGAACAGAAGCTGCAATTCATCGATTGCATAGTTGCAGCATATGAACATTTACATAACTGTGATCAGTATTAATTGCTGAATACACATGCAAACAAATATTTTAAAAACTATAAAAGAGGTTGGCACCTACGGTGACTTTAATAAGCTCATTGCTGTTTCATTGTTAAGCGGCGTTGCATTCTACGGTATGTTTATTACTCATCCTCAGTGAGCAATCTCCCGCCGCTGCTTTTTCTTAATCTGGTACATTCAGTGCCTGGGACTAAAACAAACGTGAATGTATGCTGTACCTTCCTTTTCTGCAGGATTCCTGCCGTTCCCTGCCGTTGCAGTGAACTTGCGACTATGAACAGATGACACAACATAAGACATGTGGGTGTTGCCACTCTTGTGCTGTTAAATGAACGTTTTCTCATTTTGGTACCTAATGACGTGAGTTGACAGGATTGGGAATTGTGGAATGCACCAATGCAAATGTTTTTATTCGTATAGGTTCATTGTAATACTTGTATCACGCCTGTAATCTCCAGCGCCAACTTACATCTACAAGCGCAATTCGGTGAAGTAACACTATCATCAGCTGATGTGCCAACGCCAGGGGCCATTCGAGAACTCAACGGAGCTACTCATCCTTCTCCATCAAGTGAACAAACAGCTCTGCCCTAAGACGGCGTCATGCCAGCGCCACAAGCCGCACAAAACCTTGCAGATGATTAAGATCTCTCCCCGCCAGCTGCACGAATGGCTTACTTGTCGGACATCTCCGCCTGCAGTAAGCTTCTACCAGAACAAACTATTGCCAACGCTGCCGTAAGCCCACCATGTCGTACCAGCCATGTACCCGTGTTCACACAAAAGCTCGACGCAGCTGCGCACCTCTCTGGAATCGACAAATGCCAAGCACTGCCCTACACCATCGCCGCGAAGCTCCTGCCCACAGGCCAAGGACCAGTGTTACGGAGTTACAAAGTTGCCACTCTGGAATTGGAACATTTTTGGAATCATTCCACATTTTCGTGACCCCGAAATAGAATGTGGACAACGCTTGCAGGAATAAAATGGGAATGAAATTAAGCGCCTTTTGCCCGGAATGCAAATAGAATTACGTCTTTTACCAAAAATAGAGCAGGTTTTCATCTACGTGCTGTTTTTAAAACTTCGAACATTAGTAAATCAGAGCCGCGAATTTAACAAAAAGCAGCATTTTTGAAATGGCTTGGCTGATTACAAGCACCATACATTTATAAGCAACGCGCCTACAACAAGTTTGTCCTTATATTGACTGTGCTCCTCTGAGGTTTGTCTACTTTTTGCGTAACCGCGGTCAAGTAGAACTACAGCGGCAGCATGCCCCCACCCCTCCAACCCTTGCGATTTTCTTCACCCTGCACAACCGTAGCTACTGCCATCTGCTGTCTTCACACCTTTCACGTCTATGTGCTAGCTTCTGTCACCGTTGTACGACTCGGACGCATGTTTGATAAAACGCTTCTCTAAGCTGTGATGTCTATTAATGCTGGTGCGATCCTTTTTTTCACTGCAATATGACCTCATACCACCCCTCCCCCCTCCTGCACTTTTGCCATACTGCCCCCCCTTTCTAGACACATGGGCGCGTTCGCCCGAAGCGGAGGTCTCTATGTCAGCGCAGCACACAGTCGTACAGGATGAACTTCGCGCACTACCGCTTCGTACTGACAGAGAGAGAGAATAAACTTTTGAAAGTATTAGTTTCGAAAACCGCCTGAAGCAGGAAAGCCCACGTAACCACGGCCACGACGGCGCCTCCCGAATTCCCGAAGGAAACCCATCCGCCGAACTAAACCCACATTCGCTGTGTTCTAGAGGGGGGGGGGGGGGGGTGTTGGTGGCTAGAGAAGCACATGCACAATGCACTACCACACTGGCTGCTGCATCCAGCGGTTCATGCTTGTGAAGTGCAACACATAGTTGGGCAGACGGCAATTGCCTTATCTCACTTTATCTTTAGAACCAACCGTTCAAGGAGCCGTCCAGTCACAATTCGTGTTTCAAATGTAAACGGCGAATCGATCATATAGCTCTTGGAATTTCATTGCAAAATTTCGATGAATGAAAGTTAAATACGTTTAGCACCTTGTATTGCTTGAGACCTTTATTGAAGCATTTAAAAATCTCAAGGACGCTTAATCGCTTTTCATGTTGTAAACAGAGTGACCAAAGAACTTGTGACCAATTGCCGAACGTGTTTGGAAAATCAGGCGTTCGGGAGATCAAGCCAAGGAAATCAGACGTTCCTGAATCTCACGCTGAGAACTGGTCATCCCGCACTCCCAGTGCTCCGGAGTGGGATCATTTCATTACTGTCGTTACAATTTTTTCTATAACTTCGCTTGTTCCTATGACTCTGCACATATTTGTGTTTGCATCGCCAAGCAAAGAGAACATTGGGGAGTGTTTGTCTACACATTTAATAGCTACAACTGTAATATTATGCTCTAATTAGTCATATATAGGCCAGAGTACACGCTTTATCGAAGTCAAAGGCCACGGCACCTTCGAAGTGACTAAATTCTCTTATCTTGCGTGAAGGATTTACCCTCCTTCACACCCTAAACTCAACAGACCCCAAGCAATCACCCTTTGGCTACTCCAGACCAAATCCTATCCAAGTCGTGCGTTTCTCCATGGCATGTACCCTGACGTCTTCCCAAACGACCTGTGTTCGTCATGCGGTGAGACAGCCACATAAGAGCATATACTCAGCACGTGCCAAGACATGGACTCAAGCTTTACATTGGAGGAGTGGGAGATGCTTTTATGCTAAAGCCCCTAGAACTTCATAAAGTAGCGACGCTCTCCTTCTCTGCTCTCGTTTCTCCTTCGTCTCCTCTCCTTCGCACTCTCGTTTCGAACGATGCGCCACCTACATTGCTCCTGCGTAGCAGACACCCTTTCACAACCAGAGCGCTTGCTCGGCAGGCAGCGCGCTGAGGGCTTTCGTGCCAGCCGTCTAACTCACCTTAAATTTATCTTAACGAGTCTAACGTAGACCCTCGGCAGCTTTGTTTAGTGTTACGCGCTACGTCTACGTGTGATCATGCCTTGATCGAGTCACTTGTCGTCGCAGTCACGAGATGTTAATTTTGTGAGCATCACCCCTTGTATGTATGGTCGGAAACGTAAAATTGTGATCGTTAGTGAGAACCCCCTTTTTTTCTCAGTCCATCGTTTAGGACGTCTGCGAATAAGTTTTACACTGTAAATAACATTGTTAAACGTTCATGCCAGCTGCCATGGCTTACCTTTCCGTTAGCTGGCCCGATAGAACCCGATGGGACAGTGTGGCGATCTTTCCTTACTGAGCGCATGGGTAGTACAAGCTTCGCCATATATAGGGTACACAATATGTGCAGAGAGCATTCACAGTGACTGTCATGCAGTGAATCCAATCACTAGCGTTGACGTGGGACAGTGATGTCGCCGACGGCCAATTTTAGCGTTTGGTAAGGCATCTAAGGCCTTCATAATGTGTTAGAAGGCGCACAGTTGATGCACTCGAACAGCTGTGGTTGTTTTGTGAAGTGGTTAGACGCCCCAATCATATATCAGAAGTGCGCCTTGCGGACGTATCTCACATACGATCTATATACCGTACTATTATAAATACCATACTATTACTAACACATCAGCCCAAGTTGCATTACAAGATGACATTAACCATGTGCTTAACTGGTGCAATCGTTGGCTAATGACACTAAACCCTAATAAATGCAAGTCCCTCTCGTTTCACTGTCCGCGCAGCCCCCTCACCTATTCTTATCAAATCGGTAAAGTTGCATTGGAAAATGTCATCACATACAAGTACTTGGGAGTCACTTTGAGTAACGATTTATCATGGCGCGTCCACATTACCAATATAATATCATCAGCTAACAGATCGTTTGGGTTCTTAAAGCGGCACTTACGTCATGCTCCAGCTCCTGTAAAACTACAAGCTTATAAATCTTTAATTCGCACCCAACTTGAATACGCG